CATTCAGTGAGATATGGCACATTTAATTTAAATTATGCACAAATCAAAGCTATATGTCACATAAGTGAAGGTGGCACACGGCCCTTCAGAGAAGAACATATCATCTTCCCTAAGATCCTTACCATCTGCCTGTCAATTTAAATCAATCATTCTGTGTAGTTTTTTTCCAAGTCACTTGCTTTAGAAGTATGAGGCTTCATCCAAAATTAATCAAAATCAATGGAAGACTTACTTCACTGAGTCTTGGATCAGAACACTGTGTCAAGATACAGACACCTTTGACACTTTGCCCATTTTCATCATTGTTCAAACTTTCACAGAATTATTAAGTATAGTTTGCCAGAAAAGGTTCACACGCTTGCTACCTCTGGGAAATGGGTCCACACAACCCAGATCTGTAACCAAATCTAAACAGCATCACACTGCACAAATGCACTGGACTACAAGAGGTACAAGCCATGGGAGCTGCATCCTCTCTCCACTGTTCTTAGAGAAAAACTGCTCTGTAGCTCGTCACCTTCTCTGAGTGCCTCAGATCTATCAAAAGAAAAAGCGTGTCTAATAAACTGCCTTCCTAGAATGAAGCAGTACTGAAGTTGGAAAATTGATTAATTAATTTTATTTATTTATTTATTTATTTATTTATTTATTTATTTATTTATTTATTTTTCACCAGTTGAAGCTTTTAAGATGAAATGTTTCAATGTTGTTGTCATGTCCACAGTAAGTTACAGACAGCCTTGAAACCTGTGGCCTACTGCTCTGCTCCTGTGGGTCACCTCCTGGGTTACGTCAATGGATCAACTCCTGTTATTGGAGACTTGTTTTCTCTTAGTTATCCTTTTTATTTTTTATTTCTTTGGTGAGCAACTTTTCACCTCAGTTTTATGCAACCAGTCTTTATTAAAAAAAAATAATAATCCCAAAGTGTTTTGTTTATGATCTAGTGTCTCACTTTTAAGGCAGGTCTATACCTCATTATCACAGCAATGCTGTCTCACAAATACCAGGGTTAATAAAATAATAATTTACAAAGAAGAATATAGAATTATATTATTATTTAAAAGATAATGCAATATGAAATATTTTTTTTTCTTGTAGCATTTTAACGTTAGAATTAATTCCTAAAAGTCCGAATTTCAGTTTTCGTAAAAGTAAATGGATGCTAATAGGCCATGCAAAAAGACACTTCTTGTTAAAATACAAATGAAATATCCCTTATGTTTATACATGTGTAAGAAATTAGTAATGAAGCTGAACTGGAAACAAAATTGCTTTAGTTAACCAACCATTGCAATGCAATCCAATGTGGTATCAAATGTAATTGTGAAAGACCATTTGGGGAATAACAGCAATTATTACATAGAACATTCTCCTCCTCTCCTTCCAATTCACTTGCAAAGTTGTTTTTTTTCCATGCCTCTCTACACCAGCAAAGTAATTCAACTATCATGAGTGTCAAAGACGCCATCATTTCACTCTGCAATACACAAGAAAATTCAAATTGACAAGGCTGTTTCATTTACCAATTACTGGGTTGTAACTCTGATTTGTAACTGCATTAATCTAAAAATGTTTAAGTAGTTTTTTATTTCTCCAGCTGTACGTATAGCTAGGGAATTGTGTGGTGCTGATGAAGCAGGAAGCAAAGAATGGCATTTCTTTGTTTGCCTGAAGCTAAGTACTTTGGATTTGCCTTCACACATTTCATAGCTATTCTCTAAAGATTTAATGCTCTTCTAATGTTAGTATTATTTTCAGGCTGTTTGAGAAAAACTGCAGTTCGATATTTTAATTGCTTAAAGCTTAATCAGACAACAACCCATATTACAATCCAATATTAGTGCAAACTGTTCCTCCTCCTTTTACTCAGAAAATGTTCAGTATTCTTAATTAGTATTCATCATTAATATCCGTTTGAATCACTTTGTACTTTTTAGTAAGTCAATTAGTAATTACTAAAATTATTTTTTAGCATTAAATTATCAGTGTAAAACACCAAAAAAACATTAGGATCATTACTTCTGTCAGCCACCTAAAAAACAGTGGTACATGCTCTTAAGTCAGTTTAGATTTTGTGGTTTTTTTTTTTTTGTTTGTTTGTTTGTTTTTGCTTGAGACATCTAATCTACACTCATTAATAATTTATTTATTAATAAAAATAAGGTACATGTTGCCCCCTCCCCTATATCAATCTGTGCATTTAGAAAAATGTACAAGATGACAGCAGGGTAGGAATAAGTGACTATTTCAGTTAAAAATCAAGCATTCCCTGTTCAGTAAGTCACTGGATCACAGATTCAAGTTCAAATTCCTATCATTCAGATTTCTATGTTCACAGATATTTTTTTGTGTTTTTTTTTTTTTTAATAAGGATTAACAATTTATTTCAGATAAAGTCAAAATAAAATTTAAAAATTCTTAAATTTTGATAAAGTTTCCTTTAAAAATAGATTTAAAACAAACAAAAACCACTTAAATTTACTGCACTGTCTTCCTTGAAGTACTTTCAATTCAATATACTGCAGCGCTAGAAATAAGGAGAGATATTCTACTCTCATTTAACTACAGATAATAGGAAAATTGGATTTCAGTAGATAAGTGTCTCTATCAACATTTTAGTTTCAACTTTTTTTTCTGAAAGAAAATTCTCTCCTTTAGATAAATCTGACAGACTTCATATGAAATTATTACATGAAATTAAAAACTGGGATCAAATCTGGATCTTCAAAAATTTCTCCCTGTACTGATTAATTTAATACTAAATTTTCTGATGATAATGAACTTTTGTTAATTGTGATATTAACCTGAAAAATGCTTACATGCTTCTTTTGTTATGGTCTGTTCATCAGTATATACTTAGAGAAAGTTGTTAGAACAAGTGATGTGGCAATCACGATGGTCAGATCTCTTGCAGCTTTTATAAGGACATCCCTCTTTGCCCTTCCTTTGTTGGATTTATTCCATTGAAATCTGTGTATAATTCTCTAGAAGGAATGTTCACAATATTTATTTTTCAAAACTCCATAGGCTCTGGTTTTGCTGCAATGTAACTGTCAAGGATATCAAAGATTATGAACTCACTAGAAGAAGAAAGATCCAAAGAAGACCAAAGAACTTATTTCTATAGTTACTTATGTGCAGTGTTGCTGGGAGGGCTTTCATCACTTTAAAACAATTCCTGGGAAAGGAAATAAATCTCATAGAGAATGATGCAGACTATTCATAGTGACATTAAAGGTATCAGAAGAAATGCTATCAGTGAGAACTGAAGGAAGTTTTACAGTGTATCTTCCATATTACATCACAGCCATTAGGAGAATGAAACTTACAGTGAAAATTAAGTTTATCTGAAAGATCTGTGTGCAAACTAATTTGAAAAGGCATTTTCTAAAAAGTAGGCCAGAAGAGAAGAAAGATTACTTCTGGCAAAAAATGGAGCAAATTAAATTATAAGAAGAAGCTTAATTCATTTATTTTAAATTTAATTGCATAACCTAACGTCAAGGTTATTATATGGTGCACAGCTAATTTCAAAACAACTTTGGTTTGCAGTTACTTTATTATAAAACTAAATGTTTTTCTTTACATATATATATATATTTTTAGCACAGTATTTTCTTGTACCATAACATAACATTAATATAAAATCACATTTCAAAACTACTTTGAGATCTCTCCTTGACAGTGAATTCCAATGACACCAGAAGCTTCTGTGATGAAATTGACTTCTACTGAAAAAAAAAAGGGTGAAAACAGAAACAAAAAGTAGAAACAGTATTGTTGATATGAAACCAATGTGTTCTATAAGAATGAAAATGATCAGAAAGAGCATCTGAACTCCATCACTCTGTTCTGCAGTGAGCCCACAAAATATGTGGATTTTGTTTCCTACTCAGAACAGTTATAGATTAGCAGCAAAGGTCACTGTAGAATTTCCATTACTGCATCCCCACAGACGTGACATTCTGTGTTTTACCCTCTTTTAGAAGCTGTGCCTGTGCAGGGAGCACATGTAAAAGAATTCAGAACATATCCAGACCATTTTGCTCACTAAAAAGGCACTTTTATATGAATTTGGCTTAACCTTAGATTTTGTTGACTTGTTTTTAAGAACTCTATGTCCAAGTATATGAGAAACACTGGGACATAAAGAACACACCAGAAAAGCGCTGCACACTTAACTGTGTACCTCTATGATGCCAGTGGATATGCAGACAGTCTAGGTTAGCAAAATCACATAAAAGCACCGTCTGCTTTTATTTCTGAAGAAAGAGGTAACAGTGGCATAACTCTGACACTGTAGGAAACCATAGTCTAAAATTGAAGGCTTATATCTATACAGTGCCATATAAATTTTAGTTGAATATTTATAAAGTATTAATGTTGTGCACTTTAAAATCATACACTCACATCTGAAAATTATTCAATCACATCTGAAATGATTCTAGGTGATAATTTAGAATTTGACCAGTCTCTTTTGTAAGTATCAGAATGTTGATGAGATGCTGTTATTAAAGTATAGAAAAAAGATTCTTAAAATAAAAAGCTCTTGACTGAACAACTGCTCCTGCAGTTGCATAAATAACTTTTTTCTTTTTTTTTTTTCATATTAAACTTCTTCCTATCACATAAAAACATCTTGTTAAAATAATTTCTATGCTTTTGTTTCAGAACTCGGAGTAGCACAAACTTTAGTAAGATTAGCTATCACTCAGACACATCTCCTCTGCAATTACTCCATATGTATTAAAACAAAAAGATGTCCTGGGTGTGCCTCAGAACTACGTAGTTGGGCCTGTGAAACTCCCTATGAATTATGAAGGGAAAAGTCCGCTTCATTCTCTACAGGCACTGGTTACTGACACATACATTCACAGGTAATGATTCCTTCTGCAGTGGATATATAAACAACATGTGTGTAAGAAGAGAATTAACATTAGAATGAGGAAAATTTGTAAATAGTTAAAGGGAGAAAAGCTTAAACTTCTGAAACTTACCCCAAACTCATCCCTCCACTGATGTGATGCTTGGTACTTCTCTGCTTCTTTAGCAAGGCGCTGAAGACCAAAGAGAAGACATATATTTTAGTTTTCCCAAATTCTTCACCGTGCAAAGTTTTTCCTTATTATTTCCTTCATACATACATTTATTTTTTCTATATAATTTTATATATTCATGTTTTTGAACTTAAATGAAATTGAAGCATATTTGAGTAAAGATGTACTACACAGCTTTTCAAAAATGCTATTTTGTGTATTGTTTACACATTTAAGCACTGCAATCATGAATTAGGTAGCTTAATATTCCAGTGTTATTTAAGAATTTCTAGTTAAGTTTGAAAGCCACCAATACCTTTCTAAAAATACTTTCTCCTTACACACCTTGGCTTATACGTATAATTTTAATCTACCATCCAAACAGAAGCATTTATTAGAATCTTAAAACACTATCATGGATTTTCATAACAAATTATCTATCTTCAGTTATACAAAGTACTGATATCCTCTGTGATGATTAGGTACCCATAAAAGCTTGGTAATTTGAACTAAATTTCTGGTCCGAAAAGCTCAATGAACGTTTGCCACTGGAGAGTATCAAACATGCACCTAGAGGGCATTTTTCCAGTTTAATTTAGTTTGAAAGAAGACCAGTTTATATACTTAGCCCCACAGGAAGCAAATATGTCAGACAATCAGATGATTCCCTTTCAAACCAATCCTCCAAAAATTGTGAATTTTTCTAAAACACTTCTACATGGCTATTTTATTACAACTTTGAATAGAAAAGGTGCCAAACATAATGCTTGTTCTCCAGTTCTGCTGTAGGCAGTATCCCCAGTGCCTGCAGCCTTGAGGCAGGCACCCATTCTGGAAGAAAGAAACCATATGAATGCAGTTCACATGGACTCAATTATTTCCTGATTTTTGAGTAAGTGACTTTGAAAACTATATTACTTTACAGCTCAATAAAACTGTAAGTTTCTGGGTAGTTATGGTCTCTTTAACAGAATAGACTTCTTGTATCCACAAGGTAACTAGGCAACAAAATTCTTTACTGTGTAAGGATAACATAGGCCCAACAATCATTTTAATATTCATATCAATTCCTAAACAAAATGAACTAGTGGTCTAAGTCACCTTTTCAGTTCAGTCAACTGTCAATTCTTGTTAACAACCAAAAGGAGAGTGACCAGAAAGTTCATGGAAGCTCAGTTGGCGGAGCTGGTGCTGTCACAGTCTCATCTCAGGCCCAGTACAGCAGGGCAACCACCTTGTTATCTGACTGCATGAAGACACTCCATCTCACCCCTCTAACAACTAGTAGTTGACAACTTTCATAAAGCAAAATTTGACACCTTTTCCTTTTTTTTTTTTTTGTTTTCACTTACAATCATCTTGTCAAAAAATAATTATATGCTCTGCTACAAAAAAATAAGTGAACCTTCCCCCCTGTGTTTTACTGTCAATTCAAATGATTTTCAGCTAACAAAGTCAGTAGTATCTTACAGATACTCCCAACTAACTAGTACTACCTTCTGCAGTATCCAAACAGCACATTTACAAAAGAAAAACTGTAATATAACTCGATGCACTACACTGACACATAGTATAACTCTCCCTTGACCTCAATGGACAAATCCACTACTTCACATATCTACAGTATTGTCAGTTTTCTGATAATACAGTAGAATAATTTTGTATGTTTTGTTTCTTTACCCAATATAGCAAGTTCTGCATCCAAATTTGGTCTGTCCTGTATGAGTACAAGCTGATTAAATCATGTGTCACCAGACAGCAGCAAAGCAAGACATGATACTACATGGGTAAATAGCAGCAGCTAACTCTACTCTCTTTCTCTGCCTGCTTTCCTACCTTAATGAAAAAATAGCTATGTTCCTTGACTCAAAGACAAAAAATAAAATAAAAATAAATTTAAATCTTGATATCTGTCCTGTATTTTCCCTGAAACAGATCATCTTTTCCATCAACAATTCCCATAAATGCTATATGATTAATAGCCAGCATAATGCCTATTAGCCAGCACTAGAAGAAATCTGTAAATTGAGTGTTCACAAGAGTAAATCATTTGATATCCCAAAGTGGTGACAAATATTGTGTTTTCACCTTATATTCCTGCAAGAGAATGCTCCTGTAATTCTATAACCATGTGAGTTATTTATGTAAAAACAAAGATCAGTATACTACAGTACTCTAATTATCTAGCTCATCTTTAGCAGATAACTATCAATGCCTATGTGCAGGTTACCACAGGGGCACAGATCATGTAATAAAGTCATTTTCAAAAAGGCAGGCTTGTTGTTGCTTGTTTTCCTTTGTGGTTTTGTTTCTTGCTTTTTTCTTATTGAAGATAAATATTAGTTGATATGAAATTTGTGCATTCCAAAAGAACAGAGTCACTCTCTCGAGTAATATCTTTAATAAGGGAAGAGTATTAGAAATAGAATTTAAAGGAAAAAAAGTCTTATGAAACTAAGATTATCTCAGATTTTCATTTCTATGCAAGGAAAAATTCTACTACTATACATGGACTCTAATAACTGAGACATTCACCTTTCCACAGGGGGAGTGATTTGTTAACAGAAAGAGTAAGAAGTCAAGACTCCTGGGTCAAAAATGCAGAGATGGTGAAGCTAATTCAAATTACCTATGGCTTTTTCTGCAACAAAGAGACTAATTTTTCACGTATCTCAAAGCAGTCACGCCTGCTTGCTTTTAAGGTATGCAAATCTCAGGTCTCATCTTCCCCATTTGATGGAGGAGTCTCTGGAGAACACCAGAAGGGAAAAAAAACACCATGCTGACACCAGAAATGTCCCATTTATCATTCTCGTTCCACAAAGCTTTAATAAAAGAACACCTTCTTCAATACCATAGCCCACTGCAGCTTCCTATACATTTCTATATCAAATACTTAAACTTAGAAGCAAAAGATATACAGAACAGACCCTAGAAGAAACATGCAAAATAGTATATTAGGCTTCAATCATTTCTCATTCTGTGTCTTGTATGAATGCTGTAAAAGCAACAACTGTAAACAGTTTTCTGGCCTTGAATGAAGCTGTCTTTAATATCACACTTTTAAATAGAATTGAATTGATCACGTTGGAAAAGACCTTCAAGATCATCAAGATAGAAAGGATGACAAACCAAACATCACTAAAATGAGGTGAAGGAACAAAAGTAAAATGCAACAATATTCTGGTTTACTTCAAGGTGTGAAAGCTCTATACAGTCTGCTGGAAAACAAGGATACTTGGATTATGTTTCAGTGATACTCAAATCTCTGAAATAATAAACAAACTGAGAAACCATGCCCAGGAATACAGAGCTGCAAACACAAACAAAATGCTGTAGCATATATTCCTATGCTTATGGAGGATGCCTGGCAGAGCTGTAACACAGCACTTATACATATGGAAACAAAAGAGCTGACACTAGATTTAGCCAATGCAATTGATGTGCTAAGTGCTTGGAAACACTGTGATTAAACAATCATTCCTAGATGAAAAAGGTATTTCTATTTTATGTATTTCCATCAGTGAAAACTTCTTACTACCTTACTATTTTCTGAATATCAGTTTTCAAAGTCCATTATCTTTCAGAATACTTAGATTGTTAATAAGAGAACAATTATCCCTTGAAAGACAGACATTGCTCACAAATAAGTACTGTTGTTTTTTAAACAAACATTGAAGGAAATTGGGAGCTACTTGCTCCTAGGGTTTCCTTAGATCTTTCAAAGATAATCATTACCTTTAAAGCAAAACAATTTATTGTGAAATATACAGAAAGATGCAAGAACTATTTACTCCATCAGCCTGTGATCTTTCTTTTAACTTTCATAGGGATTACAAAAGATTATCAAAAACTACCCCCAAACCCAGCTGCCTGTCAATCTCAGAAATGACCGTTTTCAAAGGTCCTGTCCCTAGATTCCAAGCATTTGCTTCTATCTCTGAAAGACAGCCTTTGATGCAATACATAGGAAGAAAGAGACCTAAAGAATCTTTATCTGATCTGAAAAGATCAACTCCCTGGGCTTATTCATCTCCCAGCCTTTACTTCTATGCGTGTTATATCTTTATCTCTTCCTAGCCAGCAAAGAACTCTTTCAGCCAATAGCCTAATTACAATTATATTCAGCACAACAAATCAATCTTGTGTGCTTCCTACTCTCCTTTAAGTATTTTGTCTTGAAAATAACATTTGACTACCTTGATATATTAAGTTATTAGAAAACGTGCAAGCTTCAAGATATTCGACATCAATAGCCTGACACAGCTTTCTAAAGTACTGATACTTTCAAGGTTATTTTAATAAGAGAAACACACGGAGAGAATACACAATATTAGGCCTAAATAGAACTATATAGAAATTTGGAATTATCTTTAAGCCCTAACTTTTAAAATATGATCCAAGTACTCAATTCTGCTCTTGCATAAATGAGGTAAAACCCACAAGTGGCATCTACAACAGCAGTGTTAAACATGGTTTTCACATATGTATCTGAAACATAAATACTGTTCTTCTGTAGATGATTACAAACTGCACTTCACTTACAAGACAGAAGTACGGGAGGAAAAAGTCTGTCAGACTGGGATGTAGTACATGAAGTGCCAGTGGAAAACTAACACATTTCACTACAGCTTTAATGCAGACTGATGTAAGTTTAAAGAATTATATTTTCACCTTGCTCAGCTGTTACATTCTATATTAAGCCAAGTAAGAACTCTTGCGCTCTTTATCATCGACATCGATGGAATTGAGTGCACCCTCAGCAAATTTCCTGATGACACCAAGCTGAGTGGTGCTGTTGATACAGTGGAAAGAAGGGATGCCATTCAGAGGGACCTCAGTAGACCTGAAAGGTGGGCCTGCGTGAATCTAATGAAGTTCAACACAGCAAAGTGCAAGGTTTTGCACTAGGGCCAGAGGAATCTCAGGTATCTATACAGACTGGAAGGAGCGGTCCTTCAGAGCAGCCCTGCAGAGAAGGACCTGGGGGTCTTGATTGATGAAAAACTTAACATGAGCCA